TTCGCGTACAAATATAAACCGACGCCAAACCCGAAGTGCACCGCATCGTCATCCACTTCTTCTCTTTACAGGTTTTACTCTATCGCTCCATTTCTCTCGGCTCTGTATCACGCGTCTTGATTTCTCGCTATTTTGAGTTACGAAGATTTGGAATCTATTATCTTATAATAGGAGATACCGGCCTTGCCCGTGATAGACGAGAGGAATATTATTTGAGATTGAAACAATTGTGCTGTCAGTGAGACTCGTGTTCGTCCGATTTAGTTAGCTGACGGTGAAGTAAATAGTTCAACTCGAAATGTCAAAGGCGATCAGTGGACGAACGAATTGCAATGAGGCTGTACCCTGAATAGAATATAGAACGCTCGAAATTGAACTTTTCAAAAAAACTAAACTCCCAGCTGTCGTCGAAAACTCTGTCTCTGTGCCTCCACCTACCGAGCTGAAACACTCGAGCCAGATGTTCGATGACGTACCACTCTTATTGTCGACCGAGTAGACAAAGTCTGCATGAACTGCAGAAAATTTCCCCTCTCTCGATCAAAGACTTTTTTTCCCCTTAAAACAAACTCTCCTGTTCATTCTACTGAACTATCATCCAATGGTCTCTTTTAATCTCTAATTGACGACGATAAATCGAACGACAAACTGAAGTCAAATAACAGCTTCTTCCATTTCACAGGCAAAGAATTTAAATTTTAAGAAGGAGAAAGAAAAAAAGGGAAAGGTGGAGGAACACGTATGTAGTAATCCGCTGGTGCTTTAGAAATGGCAGGAATTAACGACCGACGTTGAGGAGAAAGTCGAGAGAGAAAGAGAGCAACGACGAAGAGGAAATGCCTCCCTTTCGGGTGTTCTATTACCAAAGAGCAGCAGTACGAGCCACACAACACGTGGTAACGCACACGCCACTCTGCCTCTAGTTTGGGTGTGTATTTCGAGAACTTGGTTGCCTTCGAGCGTGGTCTTCATGAAGCACGCACATGCAGCGACCAACAGGAAAGAGCCAGTAACGGTACACCCTCTCTTATATAGACAGGAGGGGTGGCAGTGTGTAACATTTTCGGCGAAGCAGACTATTTCTGGTTCGCAGAACGAGACAGGTGAAATTACGACGGAATCAAAGTACATCGGGCGAGTAGAGGAGTTGCGAAATCGGAGGTCACTCCGATCGGTCTCACCTTTCAGAGAAAATTCACGATATCCTTGCAACAATTCCATAGACTCGAATATTTTTTTATGAATTACTCGCAACTGAAAGAAATTTAAGTGCAAGAAATGGAAAAGACCAGTTTATAGATTCAATGAAGACCATAAGCTTTTATTTATATATCCTCCGATAATCATTCGAGCGTGAAATTTTTACCAAAAATTAGGAATCAAACTAAACGTGATTTGTAAGAATTTATAACTCAATACTAAACGTGATTTGTAAGAATTTATAAAGTCAAGTCACGTTAACATTTCAATGACTAATCCAAGAAACTAACGTTAATTTCCACCCAAGATCTAAACATAATAACCAGTCAAGAACGTAGCCATTTCACTCTAAAAGCGACACTTTGCAAAAATGTTCAGGAAGCATAGCACTCAACTGCCCCATATGTCGTCAAGGTAGAAACAGGTGCCTGCAAGTGTATCCCCGAGGAAGATCGTAAAAAGGAAAACCTTAAGGCCCTTAAAGAGGAGGATTTAACGATCGTCAATCTATTTTACACGAAATTTCCAAAAGTTCTAGCCACACGAGATAAGTCTCGCAGATACACACGTATCCAGTTTAGAAACAAAGGAAGCGAGTCCAGCGACTCCTGGTCTGATTTTTAGAATATATATATAT